CATTGCTTTATAAGTCATGGCTTATCTTCTAAGAGACACAGAGACTTCTTTAACAAGTTTCCAAATGCCCTAAATTAGTGGACCATTGCTTATTTAGACCAAAGTCTCACATCAAGGCTTCCTGCTTTAGAATAATGATCAGTAATCCGTAAGGTAGAGCTAAGATTCCATCACATGACAGCTACGCATTCAATTATGCGATTGCCCCCACTAATGTCTGTCTAAAGGAAATGCTAATCCAAGCTGAAGTTTGACAATACTCTTCTCCTTAATAAGGCCACATACGAAGAGGAAGAGAAGGGGAGGGGGGCAGAAGGACCCCTGGGAACAAGGGATGGGGAAGAATGAGAGAGGAGGCAAAGGGTGTGGGTGGGAGTGAGAGAGAAGCACACAAAGGAGACAGGAAAGCGGTCAGAGCTCCAGAAGGACACAGAGAATCAGCAGGTTCCCAGTGAGTCCTGGTCGGGGAAACTGGTCTCGTGGGGCTGCGGGCAGTCATCACGGGGCTCTGAAATACTGATGAGCAGGTGAACCCCAGCTCTCCAACAGGAAACGTGCTGTGGTGATAACCTGGCGTTAATGAGAAATGTGCCATAGACAGCACGTCTACATTTTAAAGCTCCAATAAGGATTTCTGGTCCAAATGTTTCTGTAGGTCATGACCTAAAGGAAAGACACAGGCCACCACCACCCTCCCCCCAGTGACAGGGCAACCCGCACTGATATCAAGACTTACAAAAGCAAACAAAAATGTGGGAGCATTTTTGAGATTAGAGAAGCAAACAGAAACGCTGGAGGAGCCCAGAACTAGAAACTGACCATGAAGGGGATGGAGGAAGTCTCTGTGAATCACTGCAGATATCAGATACACTGACTGGCAGGAAAGGGAAAGGAGGTTTCTCCAAAGACAGAGCTGAAAGGTTCCTGACAGTTGGTATCAGAAATGATTAGGCAACCTGACAATCAGGAGGCAAGATGGAAAATTTGAACTGTGAACCAAAACTGGTCATGTCTACAACTAAATTCAGATCTTCAGAAGGCTAGGTCCATGCAGAAGAATTATTAGGGTATGAGAGTTGGGGATGGAACAGGAGGCCTCAAATGTGGGGTTTACGGGCTTAAAAAAAAAAAAAAAGGCAAAAATAACACTGACATAGGGAGATGAGCAAAATCAAAGACCAGAAACTCTGACCTCACATCTAATCTACTTCTGGCAATCTACTTTAACTTAAACACTTACTCATTCACTTGTCCGTACTTACACTGTTTGACTCTAGAAAGCCTACAGGTGCTATCGTCCCTGACAAGTTGAGTCCATGCTATCGGGGTGTCCATTTCAAAGCCCCTGAACAGATTTCTGAGGGGTCTTTCTACATAGTATTTAAGAATGATTCTATCTAGTACACATTTTGTTAATGATCAGATTCTGCTGGGATGTCTTATGATCTGAACTTTTTGGACAGTTATGGGCTGAATTGTGCCCCCTACAAATAGTCATATGTTAAAGCCCTAACTCCCCAAACCTGAGAATATAACAATATTTGAAGACAGCTTCTTTAAAGAGGTAATTCAGTTGAAATGAGGTCTTTAGAATGAGCCCTAATTCATATGACTGGTATCTTTATAAGAAGAGGGACCGTGGACACAGATTTACAAAGAGAAATGACCATGTGAAGACAGAGAGACATCTACAAGCCAAGGAGAGAGGCCTTGGACAGATCCCTGCATCACGGTCCTCAGAAGGAACCAGTCCTGCTGCTCACACAATAGCTTTGGACTTCTAGACTCCAGAACCACGAGAAAACACATTTCTGTTGTTTAAGCTTCCAAGTGTATTAGAGCAGCTCTAGCAAACTAATATAGGCAGGTACGTGTAACATATTCCTGGTAGGGTGGGTACAGTGGGTCTGAAGAAGTCCTAGTGCAATAAGGATTCAGCAGTAATTCACCTTCCAGGTCACCTAGCACTCTCTTTTCTCTTTTACCTGCCTCATTCACTTTCCTCACAGAGACTAGTATCACAGCACCACATTAGTTTCTTACTCTGGACCAGACCCCATGCCATCTGGAATAGACCAGCACTGTCTGTTAGGGCCATTTTTACCTTTCTCCTCGCTCGTCAGGAGTCACTTCTACTCTCCAGTGCTTACCTACATCTAAACAGGCTTCTTCCAGAGGCTTATTCTGAACTGCTCTACACTTCTGGTCCTGAACAAAAAAGATGCAACGATATATATGCTTCCCTTTGTTTCATCTTGGAGCATGTCAAAAATCCTGGCAGGTTTCCTAAATTACTTCAAACACTCAAACATTGGTTACTGTTGTTTCGCAGCTTCTCCTCAGTCCCTGTGCCACCCCAACTGTTCACCAAGTGACACCTGTAGGCCCACAATGTGCCCCAGCGGCAGGAGTTCAAAGGTCTCAAAAGGGCTCCATCCCAAATACCTCTGCCATCAACCTGCCTTATCCCTAAAATTCTCCCATCAATTAATTTACTTTGGACTCAAGGAGGCTTCAGCTAAAACGCCCCCAGAAGATAAGTCACTGCCAGCCATGGGTCCCCCATTGTGAGATGAATGTGGGCCCATTTAATAGCACAACAAGCAACAAGCTGGGCGCTGAAAGGAGGTACACAGAACAAGATTCAGAGGGGCAATGGGAGGGCAGAGGACCAGGCGCAGAACACGGAACAAGACTGGCCAGGGAGGCCAGGACTTGAGCACTCAGGGGTCTCCTGGAAACAAAGGCAGCATCGTGAACCACCGTGAGTCACCTACTACCCCCTCCTACCCTAACGGTGCACATGTTCCAGGAATAACATCTTACGTTTAAAAGGTTTTAGAGCTTACAAAGCCCTTCACACGACAATCCTCATCTGGTCCAAACAACAATGAAAAAAAGGCAGAACACAGGTACCCATTTCAAGGTCAATGATTTGAAGCTCAGACGACTGAGTGACTAGTGAGCAAGAGAGCCGAGTCCTTCTAACTCCTGCTCCAGCTTTTTATGGCGCAGTGGATGAGTTCCCATCTGAAGACACAGAGACCTAGAGGAAATCCAAACTCTGAGACTGATTAGTTTACAATCTTGTGCAGCTTACTTGACTCCTCTGAGCCACAGTTTCTCTTCTGTAAAATGGGGATGTTATAAAGATCTGAGCAAAGGCCCTTAAAGAGCTTAGCACAGTGCCTGGCACATAGAAAACAAACAGCAGACATAAGCCATTAGCTCTCATTGCTAGTATCCCACGACACAAAGCATTTCATTGCTAGTATCCCACGACACAAAGCATTTCATTGCTAGTATCCCACGACACAAAGCATTTCATTGCTAGTATCCCACGACACAAAGCATTTCATTGCTAGTATCCCACGACACAAAGCATTTCATTGCTAGTATCCCACGACACAAAGCAAAGGTTTTACTTGCTGCCTATTGACTCACCTGAGCAGTGGCCCCAGCATGACTGTCACCCAGGCCTCTCACCAGGCTACTAATTCAGACTCTGCAAGTATATGGCCCAAACACTTGTATTTATTTTCTTTTCTCTCTCTCTCCTTTTTTTATTTCTTATATGCCTCCTTAGTGATTCTAATGCGAAGTGCCACAATTAAGAACAAGTGCTACAGCCCAGCTGGGCGTGGCTCAGCAGTTGAGCATCGGCCTAGGATCCAGGAGATCAGAGTTCAATTCCCGGTCAGGGCACATGCCCGGGTTGCAGGCTCCATCCTCAGTCGGGGGCGTGCAGGAGGCAGCTGATCAATGACTCTCATCATTGATATTTCTATCTCTCTCTCTCCCTTCCTCTCTCTGAAATCAATAAAGATATATTTAAAAAAAAAAAAAAGAACAAATGCTATAAAGCAGTTATTTGTCGAACTGCACGGGACATTCAAATCACCCGAGGTCTTGTTACAATGCAGACTCAGTAGGGCTGGGGTGGGGCCAGAGACTGCATTTCTAACATGCTCCCAGGTAACCTGGACACTACTCATATACAAGCCACACTTTAAATAGCGAGGATACAGAGGTTACCACAGGAGAGGAGGGGGTGACAGGAAAAAAAGGAGCGGGGTGAGAAGCAAGAGGGGCCCAAACAACAACCAAACCTCAAAGATCTAATGAACGCACAAGTTGGCCCCGTCAGCATCAGTAAATGACACAGTGAAGAGCATAAGCAAGGCCTGGCCTGGCGGACCCATCAAATGGTAACTGATGTAACTGTCTGCGGTGAGACGTGGTAATGGACCTGGGTCGAAACCACTGCCCCTGGGAAGTCAGATTACTCCTAAGCAGGAGCTAAGCAGGAACAAGCTGCCTCCCCACAAGCGCAGCAGCATCCCTGGTGGGGAAGAGGGAGAGGGAGTTTCTACCCTAAGCTCATTTCCTTCCGAGATTGTTCCCACCATGATTTGAAGGGAGTTCTGGAAGCAGGGGGCCAACTCTAAAGATGTAACAATTATGGCTCATTAACCTCAACTTTGGAAAGCTGGACCACTTCTCCGGGTCCTCCAGCAGAGCCGGGTACAGAGCGGCTGTCACCTCCAGGGAGTGTGAGTCACTCGCCAGCAAAGAACGAAGAATCCAACTGCTGCCTCCTCTGCCGCCGTGAGCCACAGACTAAATCTTACCAGGACACATTTTTTTCAAGGTGCCAATTGAAAAAAAAACGTTTTCCCAGATAAGTGCGTGACCTCAGGAATTTAAAGGGCAGCTGACACAGTGGAAAGTTCAGCCAAGGAATGCAAAAGGTATTTTCTGACTCTGCCTGTATTCTACCTAAATATCCTTCCTTTAAGGTAGGATTCTGCTGAACATACCTGGTTTACCCAGACCTAGAAAATTAATGCAAACAAAACTGAACAGATATGATAGGAAAACACTACAGATGAACAGAATATATTTTACTAGTTAAAGGAATGAAGCCATTTGGGAAACAGTTGTACTCTACAAATAACCCTTCACCCACCACGCAATCCCTGTAAATGGAAACACCATACCTGATGAGATCTGGCTCTGCACCCTCGTTCTTATAGGATGCCAGGAGTAGTCTCTCTCGAGTTACAAGATCATCCAGTAGGTTCTGTCTTCGGTCCCCTTCAAGCTGTGTTCTGCAGACATCTGTTAAGGTCCAACAGTGCTGAGTGACCCAGTTTTACCTACAGCATTATGAAGTGAGTTCTCCAAGTCAGCTGGGACTGTTACAGACTCTAATCCATCCTATCAGAAGAGACTTGAACCACCCCTCTTCTGCTCTGACCTTCAACTTCACTGGTCCTTCAAGTAAAGAACCTTGATTGACCATGGCAAGGAACTTACAAACACTGGCAGGGACCCACCACACAATTCCTTCACCGAGAAATACAGTAAATAAGTAGTATTTTCCTCCCAGCCACCAACACGGAAATGATTATTCCTGGCCAGCAGGACAGCCAGACTCAGTGAGTCCTTACGTTTTGAATTATAGCTGTCCATGGTCAAGGGTGTTTTCCTAGACATCAATACCCTAAATACTCTGTTAAAAAATTTTTTTTAAAAAAAGGTTTATATATTGCCCTTTCTGCCATGCTAACACCTATTAATACCTCGAATGTATTTTGTAAAGTGCTACTATATGCAACAGATTTGCTCTAAAAGTTGTTACCATCAGTTCATTATTTAAATACACTGCATGATCTTTGAAGAAAATTGTAAGGAAATAATCATAGTTTACATCTGCTAATCTACTAAGTATGCTAGGCTAGGAAACCTGTTAGTCCACTCTTGACCAGTATCTATGTTCATGAACTAGTTATCTCACCTTTTTGGATCTGTTTCCTTCTGTGTAAAGCCAGATAAACTCTAACCCCTTTTTCCAGCACAATTTATAAGTTATGGTTAAAAAACTAAATAAATCAATACTAAATCCAGAGTTTTATATATTAGCTTTCTTGAAGCAAACTACATGAATTCTTCTAGGCTGAGTGTGTGTGTGTGTGTGTGTGTGTGTGTGTGTGTATCCATGTGTGCTTTAAAAAACAAAATAAAGGAGCTGTAGATGGAGAAAACTCCTGCCATAAAAAGAACAGGTTGGGAAAGCTAAGGAACACTTTTGAAAGGACATATCTGACACAAGGTGTAAAAAGTAAGCACAAAAATAAGTCACCTCAACATGCTACATTTTATCTGGCTTTTACTTTTTTATTAAATGGCCTTTGTTTTATTAGAGCTGAAACACTGGTGATTCAAAGTAGCCCTGGCCACCACTACCTAGCTCTAGTGAGAGTTAGTGAGAGTTAGAAAGTGCATTCACAGACACTTTTCTTTTTAAAAGAGGGGTAGCAACCCCTGCATTTAGGCGTCCCAAAATTTGAAGGAATTGGCAGGATCAAGTCGTAGCATCCCATTTCCTGGGTGGAAAAACTGTGGCCCAGTGAATCTACTTTTGTTAGAACTTTTGTTGCTAATTTTGAATACAAAGAGCTGGCCAACTAATAAAATAGTAAATAAAGCTGTAAAAGATTTCCCCCAGTAACAGACAGTCATTAGAAAAATCACATATCTCCCAAACCAATGTAGCTAAGTGTTAGTGGCTTTAGATATTAAATAAATAAGTAAATAAATTCTCTCAACACTGCCGAATGTTGTGCTTTTCTGAATAAAATTACTACCACTGCTTTTCCATTTCCTACTTGACTATAGACACTAAGGTGCCCATCTTGGAAACCATGAAGCAACAACTGTAACTAAGAAACAGTGGGCTTAAGTACTTCTTCTGTATTAATAGAAGGACCAAATAGTAGCCTTTCAATCACTGCAACATCAAGAATAAATATTGATGTGCTTCAAAATAGTGGTAAATTGTCAATAAAGCAGAGGGCTTTTCTTCTATCCAAAAGAAGCTCCTCAGAAAACAAAAACAAAATGACAGAAGCTATAACATGAATTACACAGGACAAAATGGGAATTTTAAATTGTGGAATTAATTACATCTCAATACCATACTCAACCTACTCTGGCAACCTGTGACTTTCAGTGTCCAACCACCTGAGCAAACATAAGCTGAACTATAATCCAATATTACAAATTAAACACAGATTTAACCGGCTCAAGGACTTAAACATAAAAAGTAAAATGATAAGAGTATCCTCAGAAGAGACATAGGACAATAATCTTGAAGTAGTAAAAATCTTTTTAGATTGAAAACCTAGAGGCATGAAGAAAAAGATAAATCTGGCCATATAAAAATTTTAAATGTCTGCCAAAAAAATTACAAGTTACAGATTGATAGTGGCAAATTTAGAAAGGCAAAAGACATAACAGAGCACAAGGAAAAACACTAATAACTCTCGTCAAAGGAAAAACACTCAGTTTTGCTTTAGTAAAAGAAATGCAAATTGAAATAATATGTCAGTTTCAGCTATCGGGTAGGGAACTGTGGGGAGGCAGCTCCAGAAAGCACTGGGGAATCAGGCACTCTCACATTCTTGGCAGGAATGTAGACAGGTTCAACCAATGGCCAGATTGCCTTCCAAATATCTAACGAAATTTAAATGGCACCTTCTTCGAACAGGAATTCCTTCTGCACATATAGTCACATATCTATACAAAGACTCAGAAAGAAAGATGTTCACTGCAGCATTATTTATAACAGCCAAATATTGGAAACATCCTAAAATTCATTAATAAGGAACTAGTGCATCTACCCAGTGGAATGTTTTGCAGCTCCCAAAAACCAGGGAAGCTTCTTGTGTACTGAGAATAATGATAATATTTCTGAGCACTGACATGTGCTTACATGAGTTATCTGACATGGAATCATCTGCAAAACGCAGTGTTAAACCAAAAAATAAAAATAAAAAAAGCAGTAGCAGCAAAGAGCTAAACAGTAAGTAGCACATTCCCACTGCATTAAAAAAATCAAACAGCCATACATGTGTTTGTATATACACAGAAAATCTCTGGAAGAATATGCAAATTACTGCCTCTGAGGAGGGGGAGCTGGGAATTCCAGATGTGAGAGAGACTTATTTTTCATTGAATATTGTTTCTGTTGTTTGACTCTGCCATATGCTAATTAATAAAAACATGTTTCAAAACCATATGTATAGTATTATACCTGCATTTGTATTTACTTGTTCATGCCTAGTTGGGGTGACAGGTCCCAACACTGACATCCTTAGCGATGAAGGACAAGATGGAACAGGGTGGGGGTGAGGAAAAGAGAGCAGAGTCACTGGTAAAAAATCTAACAAAAAGAAGAGTGTAGGAAGAAAGTACTTTTAACAATAAAAATAACAGACAAGTTTTAAAATTTAGCAGACACTAGTTACAAATTTAAGTACAACTTGGTGGTTATGTTTCGTAATATCACAGACGGTTACAGCTAGAAGAGGCCCGGAGGTCCCCGGCCCCAGCACTCTTGCCCCCCACCAGGCCGCGGGGGCCCAGTGAGGCTAAGGCATGAGGCTGGGAAGGCAGTGCTGGGCTAGAGCAGGCTTTCTGCTCTAAACCAAGGCTTTCCCACCACATCGTGCTGCTCACTTCATCTTGCTACTTCTTAGCGTCCTGTTAAAAACAGTAGCTAAAAACCGGTGATGCTAATTCAGAACATTCCCAGAGAATCCCTGTAAACCCAGGCAAACTGAACAACACTCCACCTCTTCATGTTTCTTTTCATCTATTCGGAGGACAGGGCATAGGAGATGGGGGTAGGGGTTGTTAACAAGAGGCTAAAGAATCATCTGGGCAATGATCCCACTGCGTGTATGCACACTCGTGGTAGGTGCGGTGTGGGGGACAGGGAAGGAAGGAACAGAAAACTGGGCAGTGCTGGGATCGCCTCTTCCACCAACATGGTGAATAACCCAGGAAGATCGGGGGACAAATGAGGAGAAGGGAGCGCTAACCGCCACAGCGCTTTGTCCTCAGCGAGGATGACTTTACCTGTAATTATAGCCAATTCAAGGAGATGCAAGGTTGTAAGTGAAAGCAGGTCCTGATTTCGTAATACCCACGTTTCCACGCCCAGCTTCCCTGCATGGCCCGGTAAGCACTCAGAGCCTAAGACAAGCGGAGTGAAGAGGGTGCGCCCAGAGGATGCCCCACCGCTCTCCAGCTCCAGGGCTGTCTCTCTATTTTGCAGAAGGCTTGAGGGTCTAGGCAGCCTTCCTTGTGAATGAACTGCTCTGGAGAAGGAAGCAGATGGCAGATGATTCCTCCCCAGGCCAGGCCAGGCCAGGCCAGAAGAACTGCACGCAGAAGCAGTTTAGACTCCGAGAGACCAGATTTTTCTAGCTCGCAAAGCATTTCGCTTTTTTTTTTTTTTAACCAAAACAAACTCTGCTCAATATCTGTCATGTACAGGCCAGGTTCTTACCTTCCTCAAAGCACTGATTACAGTTTGCAAGTGCTATTTTAGTACAATCACTATCTGGGTGCTTTGCTATAACCTCCTTACATGGTGATAAACCCCACGAGGAAGGGCTGTCTGTAAATTCTCAGTGGTGGCTGTAACTTTCACAAGAATAAAGTAACAAGTAGCAGCTAATCTTCAAGGAGGGCTTATTACAGGCAAAGCACCTTCCAGCATATAATTTAATTCTCACAGTCCTATAAATCAGGCCTATTTTGTTAACCTTTTTTTTCCACAGACGAGAAAAACCAAGCACAGAGAGATTAAGTAACTTGTCCAAGGTTACACAGTGAGTGTTGTCAACTACCTTTTATTAAACACCCACCATGTGGGGGTCCAGTCCTGGGATGTGCTATAAATAAAAATATTTCCTTCAACTTTCTCAACAGCCTCACAGAGCGTGATTACTCCTGCTCTACAGAATGAAACTCAGGTCCAGAGAGGCTGACTTGCTCAGTCTGTCTGGTTCCAGAGCCAGTGTCCCTCCTCTACCAGCAGCGCCCAGACCTGGGTTTTGTGGAGCAGAAACATTTCCAAACAAACTGGGGAAGGAGGGAGACTTATAAAGTTACCAACTATACATTTTTGCCATGTATGAGATTCAAAAAAACCACAGACAAAACTGCTTTTACTATCGTGCTGAAAAACAGGGAAATTTTAACACTAAAAACTACAAAGAGCCATGTGAGAGACCATAAATCAAAGTTTCTGTTGACATAAACACAACCTTGTCCTTAGTTTCCTCACATTACCAGGCACCAGGGGAAACGCTCAAGGGCAAGTGCTGAGTTTGGGAACCACTTCACCTCCATGGGAGCCACGTGGCTACCACTAAAATCTATCCATTTAGCCTCTCCACACCCGCATTTGTTCGGGTGTGTTATCAGGTGATGGCTGCATCTGTCTATCTATCTATCTACCTACCTCCCCCCCCCCAAATAATACAAAGTGGGGGAAAGTTATTCATAAATTTTAACAAATTATTCTACAGAACTTCTCCCAAGACACCAAAATACCTTTTGATACTGATCCCTTTGTAAAGAGATTTTAAAATTCTCTTTATTTGCTGCCTTTGAAAACCCAAGATTCATGAAAAGCCAATCCTATGAATAATCTGAGTGCTACCTGCTTGGAGCACACACTTTCTCAACTGGTGAGGCAATTAAAATTCCCATCTCAAAGGAGCAATGTGAATAGAGGTTAATATTTTTCAGCAATTTAAACTCTCTGGCTGCAGGCCTTTGGTTTATGAATTGCAAACTAACCAATTCAAATGCACGGAACTTTCATTTTAATTTCACATTTATTCTTGCCAGAAGAAAAATACTTTTTCAGGAAAGTGCAATAACACTTATGCCTAAACTCCATGAATTTAACTGTTTGGAAGGCATTTTCATAGGACTTATCTTTCTGGCAACTCCTAGTGTTCTTTGGAAAGCTTCACAAATGCCGTAAGGCATAAATTTACTCAGTAAAGTACTATAAACTCTCAACTACCCGACACAGTAAGAAAATGTGGCATTCAAATATTCACATTTAAAAAGTCACCCAACATTAATTATGCCTCAAAAAACAGGATTAAAAAGTCAGTCTATTGGCGATTTATGGAGAAAACCTTTTCTAAGAATTACAACATCATAAAGTATACCTAATAAGCCACAGAGAACACTGTTTAATCTTTCTGATGATTAAGAAGGGTCTTGAGGATCTGCACTATAAACAGCATTTGTCTTGGCACTGCAGCAACATGCCAATTAACAGGGAATTCTAGCTGAAGACAAACCAAGTGACACTTGACTGTGATTTCTACTAAAGGAGAATTCAGCTTTTAAGCAACTGGCTTTGGGGCCAGACAGCCCTGCGTTTGCATCTCAGCTCTTCCATTTCACAGCTGTGGGGCCCAGGGCGAGTTCTCAAAGGTTCCTCCCCTCAGTGTAAAAACTCCTCTGCGGGAAGGAAGAATTCTTTCCAACTCCATCAGTGCCTTGGGGTACAAAGTCTGACCTGGCCTCAATGCCCTTTTTGTAAAGAAGGGAAGAAGCCACCCAAACAAACAAACATTATGAGGTTAGCAGGACTGACAAGCTGCTATCTGATATGCCTTAAATCTGGAGGATAACTGCCACAATATCTACGAAGAGGAAGGTCGGAGAAGGGAAGATGTGAGGGGGAAAGGGAATTAAAAAGCGGCTTCATAACATAGACACTACATCTTTCTTTCCACTCTATCAAAAGAAAGCCTCCCTGAAAATAGAGGTCTGGAGCGCCCCCATGGGGTCAGATTATCTAAATTTCATCCTTAGTATTGGTTTCAGTTCCGGCAGAAACAGACCCAATTGTCTGAAAAAATATATAGGATTTTAAAGGAAACTGTCATATTCCAGTTCAGTTTTTTATTTCCCCTAGGAAATTCTAAATTATCCACATTAAGGTCCTTAAATATTTTCATAATTCTGTTTGGTATTTTTAAATGCTTAGTGCTTACTCCAGCAATTCTAAGACCACCACAAAACCAGTCTATAATATTTCAAAAGATGGTCAGCCCACGAGCACGGAGAAGAACAAAGTACATTATTACTGTGGAATGCCTACTACTTTCTATAATTAATAACTGCCAGAAATTATTAATAGAGAAAAGTAAAAGTTCTTATTCTGTATTTTTTATGCTCTAGATGCTTAGCGCATAAATATTATTAGATGAATAATAATCAATTACTTCAATGAAAGTTAGCAAGTACATAGTTGTTAACTTTGCCTTGTGTAACAATACTTAGTTTCCTTTCTAATAAAACGTCACACCTTGGTCTCATGTGCAGACTTCCCCATACTTAGTACTAAAAGTGGAGAAAATAGCCCTACCAATCTGAAACTGCTTGAGTTCTATGTATTAAGACCTGTCGATTTTGATAAAATAAAAACTCTTAATATAATAGATTAACTGTGCAGTAAGTAATAAATGATACCAGATGGAGGGTAAAGTTACAAACTAAATGTATCAGAATATTCCAATTATGTTAAAAAATAAGGTCCCACTTACTTAATGAAATTAAACTTGTACTTTGAAGCCTTAGTCGGTTAATAACTGAATATTTGGAAAATCATGCAACTAATCTAAACAAACCTCCCTGGTGACATAAAGGGGGTTACACTTGGAGAAAAATATATTTTAAAATATTTTCTACTGTTTTATCTAAAAAACTACATTCCTACATTTTCCCATATTTAAAAGTGGGCAATAACAACTATTTCCTGAGATACTACAATTTGGGCTTTGGATATGAACTGCTGACAGTTTAAAGAAATGATGAAGAGAGGACCAGTTTGAGGTCAGTTCTCAAACCAATATAAATTCAGGATTTATTAGTTAATAGAGGTCACATGTATTTTGCTAAATTGATCAGATTATGAATTTCTAAAAAATAAAAAAAGTGTTTTAATACTTGACAGTGTTGGTGGAAGGTCGAGATGATGACACAACCTGCTTCAAGCAACTGCCCCCCCCTCAAAAAAATTTCCCAACCCTGAGGCAGTGTCTTGTACACTATGGAATAATAACAAGGCAAACAAGCTCCATCTCAATAATCTACATACACAGAAAAAAAATGTATGGTCTCTATTGGTATTGGCCTCTCGGAAAAGAAAATGGATCATTCAAAACTCAGTAACTCCCAAAGCAGTCACGCTCGGCCGGCGGTGGGAGTTCCTGCCGGGGCAGGGCGGCCGTCCCTGGGCAGTCCAGGCAGCAGCAGCGCGGGCTCTATGTAAACACACTGACAGAAAGCACTGGCTTCCTGCGCTGCAAAGGCTACACCCAAGCAAGTTCATTCCTTCAGGATGTCTTGCTTGGCCAGCATATACATTCACTGTAAAACATGTAACACACACTTAGAACAGAAACCAACATTAGAGGCAATATTTTGGAAACCAGGTCTTCCTCAAGCTGTGGAAAAATCTGGGTGGCCCAGATTACTTCCTTTCTTAAAATAAGACTGTTTTTCCGCCCACTCTAGGAAAGAGGTGGAAATGTTTACATGGATACATCTGATGTGTTGACACAGCTCTTAGCAATAAGTCCTTCAAAAGGGCGATCTTTTCCTTCAGATTCTGCAACAAAGCTCTGATTGTCACGGTAAGCTGAAAAGAAAAGAACACATCCTAAGTATGCTGGTTCAGACGGATAGAATCTACTAAAAGTATCATGTAAACACTGCTTTATGCATATTAGTCCATCAAGGGAGGGCTGGAAGACACACTTAGCCAGCCTCCCAATGACAACCTCAGAGTCGAAGGGATCTTAATGGTCACTACAGTCTGACCAGGTGGTAAGCCAGTCCATATCTGAACACTGACATTGACCAGAAACTGTCACTTTGCCCTTATACTGACTTCTGTCCCCTGAGAATCGACCCTCTGATCCCATCTGTCCCTCTCAGAGCCATGCGAGAAACTGTTCCCCCGGCTTTGTTGCCCCTAGTGAGAACTCCACGATGCACTCAACCCTGCTTCAAACGACAAGACGTCAGGTCCCATTGCCACCAAGGCCAGTCTTCTCTAAACACACTGGTGTACTTATAATTCATTTAAAAGTTTTATAGCCGTGTGTTCTTTTTACACAAGAGGAATGTTAACCATACATCGCTCTTTTTCCAGGATTGTGTGAATTTTTTCCAGTCATTTTATAAACACACAGGAAATTTCTGTTTGTGACTCTAAGTGCTACTTTAAAGGATGGAGGAAGAGTGGAGAGAGCCTTTCAGGAATTTAGAAATGTGAAGAATAAAATTGCCCCTGTAAATTAAACACTGTCAGCCATGGATGAAACCAGAGATATGTTTAAAAAGACAAACTATCACAGGTTTCATTTGCTGTCTTGTTAAAAGTATACAACTACAGTGGAAGCAGGGGCTCCCTCCTTAGATTGACAGTGAACACCAGAAACTAGCCAAGGGTTACACACATGAAACAATCCTCAAAGGTATCAACAGCCAAGAAAAGTCTAACCTTAACTATTCTAATACCTCTGGGAACCACAGAAAAACCACCCAAGTGTTTATGGGGAAACAACAAGGAGGGGGGATTTCTCTTCATTCAAGAAGAGCTAAAAAACAAACAAAAAAAGCAAAACACACACACACACACACACACACACACACACACACACACACTGGCCTAAGAAGGGTCTACAAAATTAGAGACCAAAAGTATTCAAGAGATGAAAGAGTATGTAGCCATTAAGAAGTATGACTGAAATATAAATTTGTTAACATAGTAAGATATCCATCATAATTTATTAAAAACAACAACAAATCAAGTCATAAAACAAAATGTCACCCGCATAGGGAAAAAACAATCCAGGAACTAAATACATCAAAATCGCAAGAGTGGTTACCTAAGCAGTGGGGAAATGATTACTTTTATAATCAGGAAAAAATTTTTAGTATCATAATTTAACAGAAACTTTCCAAAGCACAGAAAAAAGAAGAACACTTAATTCATATTTCAGGCTAACACACGCTGGTAACAAGCACTGACAGAGATACAGGAAAAAGGAAACCACATGCCAATCTCCATTAAGGATTATAAATATAAGTCTTTTTAAAATGTTAGCAAAGCAAATTCAGAATTATATTAAAAATTATAATATACCACCACCAAGTAGAATTTACCCTAGTAGTTTAAGAATAGTTTGATGTTAGAAAATCTAATAATAAAGTTAATAGTGTTAATGATTAAAAATGGAATAAACATATGATTAATACAGCATGGGAAAAATTAATTAAAAACAAAACAAAGAAAGAAAACTATGAATGGAACTCTACTGCCTTAATTGCAACATTATTTAACTTTGGTCTAGAAGTTCTGACCAATGCAATAAGATAAAGAAATGTATAAGAGCTAGAAAGGAGATAAAATATCACTATTTGCAGATTGTTAATAGTTTATTTGGAAAAGTTAAGAGAATCAACTGAAAGATTACTAGAAACAGGAAAAGAATTCACTATGCTGATCAAACATAAAATGAAAAAATCAAGGGCATTCCTACATTCAGTAATATCTAGGGAGAAGTTTTTTAATAATTATTTTTAAACATCATTAACAAGATCAACACAATCTAAATATTATCTAGCGCAGCACCTGGCATATAGTTACTGCAGAAAATACTGCTGAAGAAATGCGTAAAAGGAAACAATCGTAAAAATGTAAATGCTCTCCAGTTTAATCTATAATTATAGTACACATCTATTCAAAATCCCACTTGGAGCTGGCCGGGCGTGGCTCAGCAGCTGAGCATTGACCTAGGATCCAGGAGACTGCAGTTCGATTCCCGGTCAGGGCACATGCCCAGGTTGCAGGCTCCAACCCCGGTCAGGGGCCTGCAGGAGGCAGCCGATCAATGACTCTCTCATCATTGATGTTTCTATCTCTCTCCCCGCTCCCTTCCTCTCTCTGAAATCAATAAAGATATTAAAAAAAAAAAAAATCCCACTTGGAGTTCTTTTATAGGAGAGGAGGTGGTAATTTGAGGCACGGCACAAAATTCTTTTTAACAAAGCTGTGAAAGATCACTCTAAAAGAAGGATGAATGAAGAAGAATATAGAAAATTTAGGATTGGTATAATAAAGGGGCAGTAAACAATCAGATATTAACTCTTTATAAAAACTACAAGAGTATGATGCTGTCAGTTACCAACAACTTCATTAGTGCAACAGAAGGTCCAGAAACAGTACAGTTGTGTAAAAATTCAGTGAATGAAATACAGAATGTTTTGTATGTTGGGAGGGGAAGGTAATTAATAATTTAGCAAGTGGACAGGGAGGATCAGATGCCTACACTATATCAAAATAAAACTCAAATATTATAAAGATTTATGTGTTTAAAAAATAAAAACAGAAGAAAAGCTTAAGAGGTAGACACAGGTAGACAGCTATCCAAAGACATTGACAAGGCCTGTATATTGATACTGAACTCAGAAACCAATTGTTTGTCTTTACTTGTCTGCTAATGAGAAGTCATAATAATAGTTATACTTGTTCTTTGTTTTTTTCTATTTAATCTAACTATTTGTGATTATCGAACATGTATAACTGTTCATACTCTTCTATGGCTTATGTTAATGTTATACAAGATGCCAAGTACAGAAAATGAGACAGACAGCAAAACTTGGATTATGATAATTCACAGGATAGAACTGATCCAGAGTGTTTTTTCGCAGAGAAGGCCGTAAGACCAGACTGCCTTCCAATTACCTGCCCTTCCTTTTGGGGGAGAAATTCAGCCTCCACTCAGATCCCATGGTAACGGCATTGCCCCATCCCCAAAGGTCAACAAGATGATGTTGATACTGAGACCTCCTAGGAATGAACCTTCCTAGACCCGAGAGACCACACTTTCTGACTAGAAGGTTGATCATCAAAGCATCCTTCGTATTGATTTATGACCAAAAGGGACAACTGTGGATGAAAAAGGGGGTTCTATGGAAAGTAACCTTAGAGGGTGATCTGACCATAAATCCCTAACTGGGCAGGTCATGGTGGGTTGTTGTGCCCCAGGCCTATAACTTCTTTAGTGAAAGGTTTTAAGGCAGCCCCATCCATTGTTCTTGTACATCTGGGTTAAAACACCTTTGAAATACCAGAAGTAATACCCCTGGAAGCGGGTATTACCCTCAAGAGAGCAAATCATCTTGTTAACGATCTATAATCCAATTTCCACCGTGCTTTCTCCAGTCTTCCTCACTCCCTCCTCAATCTCAGATGCATAAAAAAGCTGCAAAACTGTCCTTTTCCAGAGCATTTGCTATCTTGCTCCCTAGCATCGTTTTACTCATAAAAATTCAAAAACAACTTAGACAATTAAGGAAAATATTATAAATAGAGCTCTGAGTGTGAAAGACCTTTTTTTCAGGTTTTTTTTTTTCTTCTCATTTTCAATTGACATAAAATATTATATTAGTTTCAGGTGTACAGCATAGTGATTAAAAAGCCTTTCTGAGTATTATCTCCCCTTCCCCTATAAGAAAAGACCACAAATAAAAATACTTGTAATTTCAAATAAAATTTTTTGAAGTACATGTTAAAAAATGTCATTTATAAATCGAAAGCCAAATTAATAGAAAAATATTTGTACCAAGTATGTCAGATCAAAGTTTAATATAGTTAATGTATATATACAGAACACTTTAAAATAAGAAATAACAAGTTAGGTTAAGGACATATCCATATACAGTGAATTCATAAAGGAAGAAATAACAAATATACAAAAAAATATACCAAAAAAATGTTCAATGGCATAAGGAATAAAAAAATACATAGTAAACTTTTGTATACTTTCAACTAATAGGGTGAGAAAGATTTTTAAAAGATAATCAGAAATGGTATAGAAATATAATCCTGTAATACAAGATTAAAATTCAAAAGGCTTAAAATTTTCTACAACCTAAATTGAAGAATTTGCTCTAATCTGGGCAATAATCTAGCCACAATGAAAACTCATTTACAATTAGAAATAATCTAACTGCCCAAGAAGATAGTACTGGTTAAATGGATCAGAGATCCAAATGTTAAAAAAGCAACCCATACATTTACTAGAAGAAAACAGGAATAAGTTCCTTTATAACTCTGCAAATATAAAAACTATGAGTGAAAACAGAGAAGCAATTAAAGAATGATAGTGAACTTAAAAAAAAAACACCTTCAATGAAAGAAGATACCATAAGCAAAGTCAAAAACACATAATAAAGGGGGCATACTAATTATACTATATAATAAAAAGCTCATCTCTCTAATATATAAGGAGCTCTCGAAGACTAAAAAGGCCAATAATCCAATAGAAAAATGGGCAAAAGACAAGAAGTTAGTTCACAAAAATATATATATAACAGTGCTTAAGCATGTGAAAACATACACTTAACTTGATTCATAAAAATCCAAATTAAAACTACACTGAAATATCATATCTCACTTATCAGATTGGCAAAAATTCAGAAGATGGACAACAGGTCAGCCTGTGAAGAAATAGAAACTCTCGCACATCCCTGGCAGGGGTGCCAAAAGTGATGATAACCCCTGTGGAAGAGAGTCTGGCAACAAGTAAAAAAAAAAAATTCACACGTCTTGGTTCTGAGACTTCGCCCTTAAAAGACACTCTGCAAATACAAAGAAGAAAAGCACAAAGCTATTTATTATGGCGTTATTCATAACAATAAAAGACTGGACACAACCTAAATGCCCATTTTTAGAAGACAGATTAAATGAGTACATCTACACACTAGAATACTACACAGCCCTAATGAACTAATATGGAGAGATTTCTGCGATATATTACTAAATAAAATGAGCAGGATACAAAAGAGCGTTTTGTTTAAAGGAAGAGAAAAATACACACACACAGAGAGATACTCATTTCTGCAAAAAGTAACACAGGAGGAATAAACCCAAAATGAGCGAAAGTGGTGAGCTACAGGACACAGGTGAAGAAAGGATGGGGAAGTATGAGACACAAACAAGACTTTAAGTGTAGCTTTGCATATAATTTTGACTTTTTTAAACAATATAAATGTTTTACATATTTAAAATTAAATCAACAAGGTGAGGGGGGAAAAGTAAACCCTAAAAATGAGCATAAATAGAAACAAAGGATAGCATAAGATGAAGAAAAAAAAATCAATTTTACATTTTTAAATGTAATGTGTAAAAAAGATTTATTCTTTCAGTGAGAATGGATACTCACAGAAATGAGGACATTGCCTCTGGTCCTGCAAAACCTAAAAGATTTTCTACCTGGAGGGAAAGTGTACCAACCCTAGAACCAGATTAAAATTATTAGAAACTTTTAAGGTAAAACAGAAGAAATTAAAGAGATGTCATGCTTTACTTAGTCTCAGTGATTAAGGAACTATTACCTGTTTGGTTGTGACATCAATGAGGCAAACCTAAGCACATAGGCCATTGTACATGCACACATATACACACACACACACACACATGCACACTCAGAAATAGGAGGGTTTTCAGACCTCAGAACGCAAACAAATCATTTCAAGTACTAATTCTCTCCTGGCCTTACCTTGGCTGTACTTTCACCATTTCTTTCATACTGGTTTCGTTGTTGAATTTTCTCAGCAATCTCTTGTGCAATTTGGCAAGTAGAATCGTATGTGGAGAACCTGGATCAGTCATAAAGGGAGAAAAATGTTTAAGGCACTTTCAAAGAAATTTCTGCATTATATATTTATATACTATATATATGAATTTATATATATTCATGTATACAAAAAAAAAGAGCAGGTAATACAAGACGTCAGGTAATTAAGAAAATAGGAGGGAGGCTCCTCAGGAAAACTGGGTGTTGGGCCCAGCTTTGCTACATTTCCTCTTTTTCTCCTCCATACTCATCTATAAAAAGAACAGCTTAGTGCAGGTATCACACTCCCTGGCCTCAAATTATACCAAAGCTACAATAACCAAAACAGTACGGCACTGGCAGGAAAACAGACACAAAGAGCGATGGAACAGAACTGAGAGCCCAGAAATAAACCCACATGTATAGGGTGTCCCCCAAAATGTATACACACCTTTGAATAATTATAAAGGCAGTGGTTGGTTGGTTGGTTGGTTGGTTGGTTGGTTGGTTGGTTTGCTTGTTTGTTTTTCTAATCCTCATCTGAGGATATTTTTCCCACTGCTTTTCAGAAAGAGTGGAAGAGAGAAAGGGGGAGAGAGAAGGAGAGAGAGAGAGAGAAAGAGAAAGAGAGAGAGAAAGAGTGTGAAAGAGACACATCGACTGGTTGTCTCCCGCACGTGCCCCGACCGGGGCGAGGGATCGAGCCTGCAACAGAGGTACGTGCTTTTGGCTCGAATCAAACCTGGACCCTTCAGTCGGCAGGCTGGTGCTCTAACCACTGAACAAACTGGCCAGGGCAAGGCAGTGTTTATTAAAATACATTTCATTTTCAAAATTGAGCTATCCACTGTTAGAGTGTGTATACATTTTGGGGGAAACCCTGTATGTGGGCAACTAATTTTCATCAAGGGAGTCAAAAACAGTGGGGAAAAGAAAGCCTCTTCAATAAATGGTGCTGGGAAAATTGGAAAGCCACAGGTAACAGAATAAAACTACACTGCTATTTGACACCATACACAAAAATGAACTCAAAATGGATCAAAGACCTAAATAAAAGACCTGAAACAATAAAATACAAGAAGAAAACATAGGTACTAGACTTATGGACATTAGTCTCAGAGAGGATTTTGTCGATGTGACTGCAAAGGCAAGGGAAGTAAAAGCAAAAGTAAATGAATGGACTTTATCAAACTAAAAAGTTTCTGCACAGCAAAAGAATTCACCAACAAAAGAAAAAGACAAACAACCGAATGGGAGAAGATATTTGCAAACAATACCTCCAATAAGGGGCTAATATCGAAAATATATAAAACACTCATACAACTCAACAACAAAAAAGGAACAATTCCATTAAAAAATGGGCAGAGAACATGAACAGACAATTCTCCCAAGAAGACATACAAATGGCCAACAGATAATGAAAAGATGCTCAACTTCACTAACTATAAGGGAAATGCAAATCAAAACCGCAATGAGATACCACCTCACACGTTAGAATGACTATTATCAACAAGACAAGTAATAAGCGCTGGCGAGGATGTGGAGAGAAGGGAGCCCTCATGTACTGCTGGTGGGAATGCAGATTGGTGCCGGCACTGCATGGAGTTTCTTCAAAAAAATTAAAAATGGAACTGCCTAATAACCCAGTCACTCCACTTCTGGGTATATATCCAAAGAAACCACAAACACTAATTTGAAAAAATATTTGCACCCCTGTGTTCATTGCAGTGTTGTTTACAACAGCTAAGATTTAGAAGCAGCCCAAATGCCCATCAGTAGATAAGTGGGTAAAAAAGCTGTGGCATTTACACCATGGAATACTACTCAGCAGTAAAAAAGAAGGAAATCTTACCTTTTGGAACAGCATGGATGAATCTGGAGAGTATTATGCTAAGTGAAATAAGCTGTTCAGAGAAAGACGAGTACTATATGATCTCCCTTATATGTGGAATCTAATGAGCAAAATAAACTAACAAACAAAAGAAACAGACTCATAGAGAACAGACTAATAGCTGTCAAAGGGGAGGGGGCATTTCAGAGCTGGGTGAAAAAGGTGAAGGGATTAAGCAAAACCACCACCACCAAAAAAACCCTCATAGACACAGACGACAACAATATGGTGATTATCACAGGGAGAGGAGGGTGGCGGAGGCAGAAGAGTGGTAACTGGGATAAATGATGACAGAAAGAGACTTGACTTTGGGTGGTACAAATGATATACAATACACTATACAGATATATTATAGAACTGTACACTTGAAACCTATATAATTTTATTAACCAACGACTCCAATAAATTCAATAAAAGTTTAAAAAAATAAAAAATTTCTAAAGAGGAGCTTAGATCTGGCTCTGTGGTTCCAGAACATACACATGAAAATCAATAACAAGGTATGCTACATCTCCCACCAAATGTGGGATATAATGGTATTTCTGGGGTTCTGAAGTGAAAGAAATTACTGCCATCGAGGCACTCAGACCTGACAGCATAAGGCCAAAGGTTACATCTTGGGCTGAGGCACCAGGTCAAAGCAAGCCTCTCATTCTGACAGAAGGGAGGGGCACATGTTAGACCTGGCAAAAGGCACAGGTGCAGGAAAAGATGAAAGGAACATGTGCTGGTCCATTCAGCTTAATGGTGGCCCTGGGTGAGATGGTAAAGTTTAAAATGATAAAGGGAAGCTAGTTTCTTTCTTTTCTTTTTTTAAAAATATATCTTTATTGACTTTGAGAGAGGAAAGGAGAGGGAGAGAGAGAGAGATAGAAACATCAATGATAAGAGTCACTGATCGACTGCCTCCTGCAGGCCCCCAACTGGGGATCGAGCCCGCAACCTGGGCATGTGCCCTGACCGGGAATCGAACCCCAATCGCCTGGATCCTAGGTCGATGCTCAACAGCTGAGCCACGCCCACCCAGGCAAGAAGCTAGTTTCTGAAGAGCTGAGAACACCAGCCTAATCAGATTAGACTTTTAAGAGAATTTCAGAGCTGTACGTGCTACTTTGACACATAAAGCAAGGCCTTGATTAGGTGGAAAGAAATGCTAAAGGGCAAAATGCAGGGATATTGCCCCCAATCCTTACTCATATTCTCACTTTAGCCATAAATAGCAGCAGTTCTGAAACTTTGCTACATATTGAAATAATTGGGGACTCTTTAAAAAAACACCAAAAAAAACAAAAAATGGCCACCAATTTCTGGCTCCCACCTCTGAGCATTCTGGTTAAATCCATAAGGGGTTTATCCTGGACAGGACGAGTTGTGAAGGTTCCTAAGTGGTTCCAATCTGTAGCAAAGTCTGGGAACCACTGGTCTGGAGGTAATAGGCAACCTCACCATGGCATCAAGCATACAAGTGCCTTAAGTACTAGTTTAGGAAAATTAACCTGAACTCTGTTTACATAAACTGTTGGGAAGGAGAGAAAAGTGGCAGGAGACCAGTAGAAGACTTCTCAAGCTATTCAATTACATAACCAGTCACCAGTATTTACTATCTGCAAGGCCTAAGGCTATAAAAGATTGGACTATGGTAGAAATAGCATAAAAGAGATTTAAAGGAAAAAACAAAGGCAATTTGTGAATAATCTGATGATACAAGGAGTGCAGAAAAAGTGGATGATTAGTTTTTAGGCCTAAGTGATGCCATGACAGAGACTAAGGAATTGGAAGAGGGAAAATAAAAGAAACTTTCAGGTTATCAACTGGGCCTTCTTCCAGCACAAAAATACTGAATGCACAGTTAAATTGATAGATGTATAACATTTACATTAAAATACACTCAGAAAAAAAAAGATGTGAAGGACAGAGATGAAATTAAAATGGCAAAATATTGATAATTCCAGAAATTGGGTTATGAGTATAAAGGGGCTCACTGGACTATTCCATTTTGTATATATTTTTTTACCTTCCATAATAAAATTTGTAAAATATAGACTCAAAAAAACCCAGTGTTTGCTAATTCCTTGTTTTTGTTACTAACAAAGTTTGCAGAAAATAAGTTCAACAAGAATATAAAATTTACGGTGTAATGTAATTTTTCCAAAAATGGTATATCATCAACAAATAAGTTGCCCTAGCAGTAAAACTAATTAACTTTAGCAAAGAGCCAGTTCAGAGACAATAATCACTCGCTACTTCTGTCACACAGTGAGCTTACCACTTGCTGTGATATGCCACTAAAACAGTAACTGCTGTATTCCATTTCTAAAAGCTAGGACACTACTCAGGAGTGAAGCATCATGGACTATGGTTTTCAACAGCAAGAAGGCAAAGCTACAGTCCAGTCTTTGTAAGTTTTTCAAAGTCCTGTTCCATATTCCTTTCTACCCTCCAGATCAGCAACCCATTTTACAAGGTAGCTGATGCTGGCACAGCCAAGTTCCCTCGTCGTTTCTTTCAAGAGTCAAATGAGAAAGCCACTGAATCAAGGTGCTTGAGAGGAACAGGAAAAATTATGTTTTTTCAACATTAACTGTGGAAGAGGCTTGGGGTCCAGTGACAGCTTCCACCACTCTAAATGGATAACCTGGGCCTCTCCCTTATCTCTGAGCTTTATATTCTACCTTCTGTGCAAAGTGAGGGAGTCAGCTTTCAGGAGGTGGGGAGCAATTTAGTAATATGTTATTAAGGGCTTTAAAATGTTCAGCCCCTTGGATCCAATAGTTTCACTTCTCATAGGTGAGCCAAGGAAATGAGATGAAATAAAGGGGCAGTCTTTATAATAATTAAAAACAAAAAGCAAAACAAAAATACCCTAATATTACAAAGAGGTACAAAGAGGGCTTATTCATGGCATTATTATGCACCATAAAAATGTTTTCAGTAAATATTTAATAATATGGAGAAATGTTCCATTTTGTAAACATAGACATACACATATATTATATATAAAGTTAGAAATTCATTTTAAAAATCAATAATGGCTATTGTTCCAAATGATAGTTAAAGATGTCATTTTTTTTTTCCTCTGCAAATATTCAGTATTTTCTAAATTTTCTATAGGGATGTATACAATTGTCAAAAATATGTGGGAAAAATCAGTGTTAAGTCAAGCCATTGGCCCAGATAACCTAGACCTCAGGTAGTGCTAACTTTGATCTTGCAACCCATTCTCCTCATGTCCAGACTTAAGCAATTATAAACTCTTAGAAATGTCAACATACGACATACACTCCAACAAGAACTTTATAGAACTACAATATGTTTTTAATTATTAAACAAAAGGCTCAAGTCCGATATGACATAGCAATATGTTCCTTGGGATCAGAACTGTGTCATTCATCATTCAGTCCCGGGGGATTTAATTGTTGAATAAGTTAAACAATTAAACGGCTATTGTTTTACTGCCGCGGTTGCAGCTGTGGAAAGTCTTCATATTGACTCAGGTGTGGGGGGTAAAATACCTTATAAACAAACGCATCATTTCCCTCCCGGATTCCTACAAGTTTTCTGAAGGGCCCACAAGACGTAGGTCTTAGTGCCAAGAGGTTACGAACTGGCCGGTGACCACTGATTCTGAACCCGTGAAATAAGGGGGTTCGCCAGATGGACAGGCACCCCGCAAGGTTACTTTACACTTCCACAGGAGTCGGGGGACGCCGGCCTCAGCCAGCGCCACAGAACTCCCGGCGGCGAGACACAGCCAAGAAGGGACAGGGGAGTGTTCCGATTTCAGCCCGAGCCCTCAGCCCCGCGGGTCCAGCCGGTCTCCCGCCCGGGCCGCCCCGCAAACACGGCGCCGGCGGGATGCGGCAGCGTCCCCGTCGGCGGGGGAAGGGTCCCTGCGGCCCCTCCTCTCATCCCAAAAGGCCTTCGGCCGCAAAGCCCCAGCTGTCGCCCGCTCCCGGGAGACACGGCCCACCCTCGAGACCCTGCGCTCGCGGCCGTCGGCCCCCGGGACTCACCAGGGGTCCGGAGCCATAGTGCAGCGTCCGCCGGCGCCGCGGACACTTCCTGCTCGCAGCCGCTGACTACGGCGGCCCGCGCGGCCCACGCCGCGCGCTCCGACCGAACGCGCCCGGAACCTGCAGTTTGCGAAGCGCAAAGGCTCCGGGTCCTCAACACTGTGAGGACCGAAAGCGCTCCCCCGGGGAACGGCGGGTGGGAGCGATCGGCTTCCGCTGAGAGACGCCGACAGCTGGGTGCACATAAAATAAAATTGTTGAGCGAAATTTAATAATTTTCCCTGGAAGTGGGAGCGCCTCAAAACCCCAGCAGTTAATAGAAAATTGTATCCTGCTTAAAACAAAAGCGATCGCGGTGATAATTACATAAAGGTATAAATTTATTAAAACTCACTTTAAGTGATATGTATATTATACTTCAATAAAGCTTTTAATTTTTTTATCCAGCTTCAAACTGGATAAAGATCCGAAGAAGTATTAATTATATATTGTTTTAGGGCAGTCTTCCCATCAGAAGCAATCCTCTGTGTTTGATTAATTTTTTAAACGCCGTTAGGTACTTGAAAAAGGTCCCAGCCTCTTTACAGGGGGAAGAGTAATTCGCTCTGTGCATTCGGTGTCCCTTCCTTTCCAGAGAAACAGGAGTAGGAAGCCCCGCTCTATTTGCAAAACAGCGTGCAAACCAATCTGAATTCCCGGGCTGGGGCTTAGCGCCGGCTTGGACCTGATGCGCATGCGCACGTCCGTTACCATAACGACCAGAAGACGCTGTGTGTCCGGAGGCTGAGACGAAAAGTGAAAAGTGTCTCGGGGTGATGGAGGTTGACATTTCGCCCAAGGCCGAGGTGGCCGAGCTGGAGCTTCAGGCTGTGATCGGCTTCAATGGTGAGGCCATGAGCACGTCTGGGCGGGCCGGCTCGGGACCCCGGGGTGTGCGGTGCGAACAGGAGCAGTGGGACTCCGGGTGCGACCTGGCAGGCAGTGTGGGACTCGTGGCGACCCTTCAGAGCCAAACACGGGGGGACGGGGAGACGACAGCTGCTCCTGCACAAAAGCCTTAGAAAGCCACTTCTTCGCTTAAGTCTCCACGGGCGGGATGATTATTGCCAGCGCCTGAAGGGACCAAATGCCTAAGAATGAGGGGGGGTGGCCGTGACCCTTCCCCGCCAGGTGGGCTTTCCCTGGCTCCAAGCGCCAGGCAGCTCGCTAAGCTGTCCGCCCCTCAGCAACCGCTGGCTCACCGAGTCCCCGACGGCCCCTGGGACCAGCTGACTTCCAACGTCCCAGCTGGTGTATTAATAAGAAAGGGCCGGGAAGGGACCGTGCGTTTGCACAACCGCCGTAGGGATGATCCTGTGCTCGAACCAGAGAGGAGGATTCTAACGGCGAGGGCTTCAGACCACGAACGGAGTCCAAAGGGACGCCAGGGGGCGCTGCGCGGGAGGGATGCTTTGGAGGAGGCCTTGCGGTTCTGCTCAAGTCCTTTATGACTGCCTGTGGTTTTGGACATTAAGTGAGGAAATGATGTTTGTTTTTTTCTGAAGGATGAAAACAAGCAATGGATTACATTTTAGAAAAGTGAACTTTTAAAAAGTGCATTGTAATGCCTGGAAGCTGTAAATTGTAAAACTATACATATGGAACAATCAGTGACCAAGATTTTAAGAGCATTCTAGGACATGGCTCTTGACTCTTATCTTCATTTTAATTTAGCCATCTCTGATCGAAAGTGGGCACTTGGTACACCAGAGGTATCAGCCACCTTTAGAGCTGGTTCTGAAATCATTGATAAAGAGAATGAGTGACCTGCAGTCTGTGCAGAGTCACACTGGTGACCAGTGAAGAGCCTCAAACAGAGCTCTGCAACCAAGTTCATGCTGTTTTGTGGAGCTCCAAGAGTAAATATATGGCAAATTATATCCCAATTACTTCCATGGAAATTAATTACTAATTATCTTGGCCTTTTAGAATGGCTCAAATTAATTGAATTGTTTTTACCTTGATGGTTTTGTGACAATTTATATTCTGTCCTAGTCAAATATACATTTATTTAGAACCACCATATGCCAAGTAGTATGCTATTCGCTGAGAACACAAGTACAAATTCATAGCCATACTTAAGAAGTGTTTTAAAAATTAGAAAAATACAGTGAAACCAAAAGAAAAAGCCATCATTACATTTCCCAAAATATGTGTTAAATTTCGCTATGATCCTTTTGAATATACACTTACATCGCTTACATATAAATATGGTGTATTTCTTTATAAAAGTGGATTCAGATGTATATATTCCTTTATAACAAGACTTCTTTCATTTAACAGTATGATGTATAAATCTTTCCTTAGCAGTAAATATACTCTATGCCATCTTTTTTTTTTCCAATCCTCACCCTAGGATATGTTTTCCATTGATATATTTCTTTTTAGAGAGAATGGAGTGGAGGGGGGAGGGGGAGAGAGGGAGAAAGAGATAGAGAGGGGGAGAGAGAGAGACAGAAAGAGAGAAAGAGAGAGAGAGAGAGAGAGAGAGAGAGAGATCGATATGAGTGAGACACATGGATTGGTTGCCTGCTGCACGAGCTTGGACCAGGGCTGGGATCAGCCTGCAACTGACCAGGAATGGAACCCATGACACCTTGGTCCACTGAGCCAAACAGGCCAGGGTTATGCTATATTTTTGAGAAATATCTTTATTGATTTCAGAGAGAGGAAGGGAGAGGGAGAGAGAGATAGAAACATCAATGAGAGTCATTGATCCGCTGCCTCCTGCATGCCCCCCACTGGGGATGGAGCTGGCAAGCGGGTATGTGCCCTGACTGGGAATCAAACTGTGACCTCCTTGTTCATAGGTNCGCTGCCTCCTGCATGCCCCCCACTGGGGATGGAGCTGGCAAGTGGGTATGTGCCCTGACTGGGAATCAAACTGTGACCTCCTTGTTCATAGGTTGATGCTCAACCACTGAGCCATGCTGGCCAGGCTATGCCATAATTTTTAATATTTTAGTATAATATTCTATTGCAAAGATACGCTACAATTTACTTAAACAATACGCTGTTCTTAAGAATTTAGCATAATTTTCACTTTTTACATTTATTTTTAAATGCTACAAAGAACATCTGCATAGCTAACCTTTTAACTCTTTAACTTTTTCTTTAGGGTAATTTCTGAGTACATCTTAAAGACTTTTGATGTACCCTCCAAATTCTATATCTGATATGGAACGGAAATGTGTGTCCAAAATGTATGGGAATAATTAGAGTGGCATTATTTCAAATACCTGAATATTAAAAACAACCAAGTGTTCATCAAAAGTAAAAGGACAAACAAATTGTGGTGTATTCACACAATAGACTACTGTGCAGCAATGGAAAAGAACGAACTACCACCCTAGCCAGTTTGGCTCAGGGCTTAGAGTGGTTAGAGTGTAATGAGCTTCGCTGTGGTCTTGTGTATAACACCCCAAATATTGGAGGAAATGATCCAAATGTTCATTGATTAAAAAAACAACAAAACACCCACCCACACACACAAAAAAAAGTTTGAAAAAATTGATTAAAAAAAATTACAGTCCAGATATGTTTTGTAGCTAGATATAGGTGGTGCCATTGGATTGTTTATTTTTAAATGGTTAATTTTATGTTATGTGAGTTTCTCCCCAATCAATCAATCAATCAATCAATCCTCAACAAAATATTAGCAAACTGAGTTCAACAATACATTAAAAGGATCATACACCACAATCAAGTGAGATTTATTCCAGGGATGCAAGACTGGCTCAACATCCGCCTGTCAGACAATGTGACATGCCACATTAGCAAAATGAAGGATGAAGGTCATGATGATCTGAAAAATGCAGAAAAAGCATTTTATAAAATTCAACATCCGTTTCTAATAAAAACTCTCAAAAAACACTTATAGGGGAATGGACCTCAACATAATAAAGCCCATATATGACAAGGCCACAGCTAACATCATACTCAACAGTCTAAGATCAGGAACAAGACAAGGATACTCACTCACCACTTTTATTTAACATATTATTGGAAGTCCTAGCCAGAGCAAGTAGGCAAGAAAAAGAAAGAAAAGCCATCCAACAAAATGAAAAGGCAACCTACAGAATGAGAGAAAATATTTACAAATCGCATATAGGATAAGGGATTAATACCCAAAATATATAAAGAACTCAACTATATAGCAAAAAAACAACAACAATCTGATTTAAAAAGTAGGCAGAAGATCTGAAAAGACATTTTTTCCAAATATATACAGATGACCGACAGGTATATGAAAAGATGCTCAACGTCATTAATCATCAGGGAAAGGCAAATCATAACCACAGTGAGATAGCACCTCACACCTCTTAGAATGACTATTGCCAAAAAGACATGAAATAATAGGTGTTGGCAAGGATATGAAAAAAAACGGGAACCCTTGAGCACTGTTGGTGGGAATGTAGATTGATGCAGCCACTATAGAAAACAGTATGGAGTTTCCTCAAAAATTAAAAATAGAACTACTATATGATCCATCAATTCCACTTCTGAGTAGTACTTATCCAAAAATGAAAATACAAACTCAAAGAGATATATGCACCCCCATGTTCACTGCAGCACCATTTACAATAGCCAAGATATGAAAACAACCTAAATGTCCATTGATGGGTGAGTGGATAAAGTAATTGTGGTGTATACCATACAATGGAATATTATTCAGCTGAGCCCTGGCCAGTGTGGTTCAATTGGTTGGAGAGTTGTTCCTTACACCGAAAGGTGGTGGGTTTGATTCCTTGTCAGGGCACATACACCAGTTGTGGGTTCAATTCCCTGTCCGGGTATGTACAGGAGGCAACCGATAGATCTCTCTCTCTCTCTCTCTCTCCCCCCCGCTTCCTCTCTCTAAAAATCAATGAAAAACATATCCACAGGTGAGGTTTTAAAAAAAAGAATGAAATTTTACCATTGCAACAATAGAAATGGACCTTAAGGGCATTATGCTAAATGCAATAAGTCAGACAGAGAAAGACAAGTACTGTACAATCTCTTTTATATGTGGAATCTAAAAGAAAAAAAGCTTGTAGATACAGGGTACAGACTGATGTTGCCAGAGGCAAAGGATGTGGTGGCAAAGG